AATCTGCTGATACAACCGGCTATGAGCTAGCAAACAACCGCTATTATCAAACACAGTCGTTGACAGTTTTAGACCTCCACTTTTGATAACAAAATCAAAGTAAAAGGACAACAAATGTCAATTTCACAATACTTATAATATGAAATGTCGGGAATTCTAAAGTCGGGGATCAAAAGTTTGTCCCTCTAACAAAATTGACCATTTTGTCACTAGGGCTTTTTTTTTTTTACCAATTTGTCTCAATTGTTTCTTTTTTTGCCAATCTGCCCAACAGCCCTCTTTTTTTTTACCAATTTGATAATTTGGCCAAAAAGTACCCCTCTTCGGGAAAAAACTCGGCAAAACTTGACATGTGTTATGCATTACATACTCCGTAATATACACATAATTGTATATTACTAATCAAAATGACCTTTCCTCCCATGCTACTATCACTAATCAACCTTGGTTTCTCGGTGGGGACTTTAATACCATAAAAGATATCTCTGAATATAAGAGAATTTACACAAAATAGGACTAAAAGGTTTGAAAATTTCAAAATAGGACTGACATGTTTTTATTCCCAAAATAAGACTAATTACTGCCATGTTTTGTCAGTACCAGACTTTAAACATGACAGTATTTTCCAAACCTGGCAGTAATTACTCCTATTTTGGGAATAAAAAACATAACAGTCCTATTTTGGAAATTTCAAACTATTTTAGTCTTATTTCGGGAACTTCCCTGAATATAAAGGTAAATCTAATCCCATTTCTACTGCCATTCAGGATTTTTGCACCTTTATTAATCAAAATGATTTTTTTGAACCACCTCTTATCGGTGGTAAATACACTTGGATGGGCAACAGAAAAGTGGGACTGTTTTTAAGAAGCTTGACAGAATTGTTATTAATCAACCGCTCTTTCAAACTGATTTTAATATTTCCTGCACCAAGCTGCCTTTCATCCTCTGATCACTCCCCTTTACTTTTCCACATTGCAAATAAAACGTCCAACACCCATCCCACTGCTTTTAGGTTTCAGAATATGTGGTCCAATCGTAAAGATTTTCTTAACATTGTCAAAACTTCCTGGTCTGAACCCTGTTCTGGCTATGGAATGTTTCTGTTCACTCAAAAGCTAAAAAGACTTGAGAAATCTTTAAAAACCTGGAATTTTTTCCACATTGGCAATATTTTCCAAAACCTAAAAAAAGCTGAGGAGGACCTTTCTATCAAAGAAAAACAGCTTCTTGACTTTGATAGTTTGGATAATCTTACTAAAGGCCCAGGCTGATTTTGTTCTCAAACAAAACGATATCACCAATTTTTACAAACAAAAAGCCAGAATAAACTGGATTAAAGATGGCTACTCCAATTCAGCTTTTTTTTCACAATTACATGAAGGCAAATCAATCTAAACTTCATATTCACAAAATCAAAGATCCTTGTGGTAATTGGGTTGAGAATCAGGAGGACATTGATAAGCTTGTGGATTTCTTCCATTCTTTGTTAACCCATGATGATGAGACTCTTAGGGCCTGTTTACTAACAGAGATATTTTCCTGTTTTCTAATTATGTTTTTCATTCTCCAATTTTCTGTTTTTATTTTCCAGTTTTTCTATCTCCAATTTTCTGTTTCTATTTTTTAGTTTTCCATTTTCAAATATGAAAACATGTTCATCAATTTTTTCACCTAGTTCTCCAATTCCACACCCTTGACCCCTACCCCTACCCTTATCTTGATCTTACACCCTACCCATACTCCCCCACAACCCTCCATACCTACCCATACCTACTCGTAGGGGTTGGGAAGTTATGGGTGGGGGTGGGGTAAGGGGTATGGTCAGGGTGGGGTGGTAGGGTCTAGGGGTAGGGGTTGGGTGGGGGTAGTGGGTGGGTTAGGGTCATGGTTAGGGGCAAGGGTGAGGTAGTGGGTAGGGTAAGGTAGGGGTAGGGAGTTGGGATAGATGGCGGTAGGGTGGGGCCGGGACCAGGGTGGGGGCGAGGTAGGGAAGGAGTAGGGTGGGGGGGTAGGATGGCTGTAAGAGTGGGGGTAGTGGGGTTGGGGTAAAGTAGGGGTAGGGTAGGGAGTTGGGATAGGATGGTGGTAGGGTGGGCCCGGAATCCGGGTGGGGCCGAGGTAGGGAAAGGGTAGGATGGGGGTAGGATGGCGGTGGGGTGGGGCCGAGGTAGGGGGCATGTGGTAAGGGGTAAGGGGTAATATACGGCTGGGGGTAGGGTAGGGTTGGTCAGGGTGGGGTCGAGGTGGTAGGGAGTGGCGGTAGGGTAGGGCGGATCGGGGTGGGGCCGAGGTGGTAGAGGGTGGCGGTAGGGTAGGGTGGGTCGAGGTGGTAGGGGGTGGCGGTAGGGTAGGGTGGATCGGGGTGGTGGTAGGGTAGGGTGGGTCAGGGTGGGGTCGAGGTGATATGGGGGTGGCGGTAGGGTAGGGTGGATCGGGGTGGGGGCCGAGGTAGGGGCATGTGGTAGGGGGTGGGGTAGGGTCATTATAGGGAAAAATGGGTACGCGGGGTGGGTTTGGGTGGGTAGGGTAGGGTAGGGGTAAGGGGTAAGGTACAGGGATGGAGGTACCGGAATGGAATCGACATCGGAGCGGGACCGGACCCACCACTGTAACATTTGCGTTTTCCAAATTTAGAAAACTAGTAAAAGTCACTTCTCCAAATCATCAAGGAAAAAAAAGACATGTCTCATTTTTTCCGTTTTGAAAAACGATTTGGTAAACACGTTTTTCTTTTTTCCTTTCTCCAGTTTTCCAGCAATTTCTTTGGTAAACACGTTTCCTGTTTTCTGTTTTCCAGTTTTCCAGTTTTTTGGAAAACTGGAAAATATCTCTGTTAGTAAACAGGCCCTTAATGTCTCTGACCTAGATAAAATCCTTCAATTTCTTCCTAGTTGTATCACTGTGGAGGATAATACTTCTCTTCTGGCCCCATTAACCATGATTGAACTTAAAACTACGGTTTTTGACCTCAGTAAAAACAGTGCTTCTGGCCCAGATGGTTTTAATGGCTGCTTTTACCGGGTCTGTTTTGATATTATTAAGGATGATCTTCTTAATGCTGCTAAGGTGTTTTTTTGTGGGGTTCCAATTCCTAAAAGCATTGGTCACACTTTTATCACTCTTATTCCCAAGGATTATCAGCCCACCTGCTTTCAGAAATACAGGTCTATAAGTTTGAGTAACTTCATTAATAAAGTCTTCACAAGAATCATTACCACCCGTCTTGCTCCTCTTTTAGAAAAAATTATATCTAAAGAATAAAGTGCTTTTCAAAAAGGCAAAGAGATTTCTGATACCATTTTAGCCATGAGGGAGCTTGCCAACTGTTAACCAAAAAAAATCACTGGTCACAATGTTCTTTTCAGAATTGACATGATGAAGGCTTTCGATCGCATATCCTGGCCTTTTCTTAATTTGGTTCTCCACAAACTTTAGCTTTCACCCCCTTTTCATAAATATGATTCTCAATAATCTGAAAAGCACTTGGTTCTCTATTTTAATTAATGCTCTCCTTGTGGGGTTTTCCAACCCACTCGTGGGGTTCTCCCCTATTTTATTCATTATTGTTTCCGAGGTTCTGTCCAAGAAGCTCAACCATCTTTACACCATGGGTGGAGGTAAGCCTTATTATTCCTATGTGGGTATGCCTATTATATCACATTTATCTTATGTTGATGACCTAATCATTTTCTTTAATGGCAATAAACACACTTTAATGAAACTTTTCAATCTTTTGGCCATTTATGAAAATTGTGCTGGTCAAAAAATTAATTTTGAAAAAAGTGCTTTCTATATGGGCCCCAAAACTCCCCAGGTACTATAAACATGATTTGACACACATCTAAAATGAAAAGTGGTTCTTTTCCTTTCAAGTACCTGGGAGTTCAAATTTTTTTAGGTAAAAACAAAAAAAATCTATTTTTCTCACTACATTAATCGTATTGATCAAAAACTGAATAGCTGGAAGAACAAATGCCTTTCCCATGGTGGAAAATTAATTTTGATTAAGCATGTTCTAACCACTATTCCTTTGTTTTCCATGGCCTCCTCTAAAGTCCCTAAAGGTATCCTTACGACTATTGAGCAACGCTGAAATAAATTTCTTTGGAGCAAGGACATAAATTCCACGAAGCACTTTATTTGGAGGTCTTGAAAAAATTGCTATTTCCCTTTTAATGAGAATGGGCTTGGTGTTCACAGGGTACAGGATATCCAACAGTGTTTTTACCTTAAATTGTGGTGGAAAAAAGATCAAGATCAAAGCATATGGGCTGCCATATTTAATTCTTTTCGTTCTCCTTCATGCTCTGTTTTTTGGAAATCTATGGACTCTGTAAAGGACAACTATGATGCGAACACTAATGTTATTGTTCATAATGGCGGTAGGTCTTTTTGGGACTCAAATTGGAGTCCCTTTGGACCAATGCATATGTACTTCCCGGATACCATCGAACTTAACATCACCATTAGAGAGGGCTATACAGACAGCAACCGATATGTTGCGGTGCTCCCCTTAGACATAAGACTGTCCCTTACCAACCTCCCTCCCATTTTTGACACAGAGGACACTGTCTTTTGGGAAAAAAGTTCTAATGGGATTTTCACGTTCCACAACGCCTATGATGAGATTAGGAAAAAAAATCTCAAAGATAATAATTTAAATGCCATATGGAAAAAGCCAATCCCCAAAAAGGTTTTCTTTTTTCCTTTGGCGTATTATGAATAATTTGGTCGTTAATGCCGTTTCTCTAACCAATATGGGTTTCAACAGTCCATTTAAATGTCCTCATTGCAACCACCATGATTATTTGGATCATTACTTTCTTCGTTGTCCCTCTCATGATGCCATTTGGAACCATTTTGATATTCCTAATCACCGGTTGGACGGCAATTTGAAGGACAACATTCTTAAATGGACTAAGCAAAAAAATTTCTTTGTTATTCAACTATCCTTTGGGAACCTTTGGAAAATGAGAAACACCACTCTTTATGAAGATATTGCCCCTAATACCTTTGAGGCCATTTATGATATCTATCGAGACTTTCATGAGTTTAAGGACTCCATCAACGTGAAAAATCCCCTTAGGATCAAACCTCACACCATTACCTGGAAACCTCCTCCGACCAACCATTTTACCTTGAATGTCTCTCACACCTATGTTGGTCACACTCAAAACTTTGGCTTCCTCATTCGTAATAACCAAGGGAGATTGGTCACCCATCTTTTTCAAAGCCTCTTCAACACCTCTAAACACAAAGCTTTCATTGAGGCCTTACACTCTTTTTTTAATTGTTGCAGGCACAAGTTAGGGATGGACTGGGCCGGGCCGAACCGGCCCGGAACCGGACCGGCCCGCTACTGTGCGGGCCCGGACCGGACCGGGCCCGGTTGGCCGGTTCCGGGCTTTTAGCCCGTTTTGGCGGGTCGGGCGGGCCGGTTCCGGGCCCTGTTTTTGTTGAACCGGCCCGGGCGGTTCGGGCCGGGCCCGGTTCATTTTTTTTTTTTTTTTTTTGGTTTTTTCAATTTTTTTTCTTTTCCTAGGGTAGGGCTGGGTGTTTTAGGGAGGTTTGGGGCGTGGGGGTGAGGGGGGGGGGGGGTAGGGAGATAACAAGAAAGTCAAAAAAAAAAAAAAAAAAAAAAACATTGAACCGGGCCCGGCCCGGCCCGGCCCGGTTAGGCCCGGACCCGGTATCAACCCGGGCCGGTTCCGGGCCCATGTAACCCGAAAAAAAGCCCGCCCGGGCCCGGCCCGGAACCGGAACCGGCCCGGCCCGGGTCCATCCCTAGGCACAACAGGCAGATCGTAAACATCATTGAAATCTCCAATCAATTGGTCTTGCAGTCTGTCAATCTAAACTGTGTGCATCATTGGGAATCGATCTACTCTATCACTTTGCATAAGGAAGATTTTACATCATAACCGAATTCTCTTACGTCATATACCGGAATCTGCTAATATTGTGGCGAATGCTATCAGCCTTGGAGTTGATGTTGAATCTTCCCGTTTTAAAAACATTCTCAAATTTGATGCCATTGCCTATCCCTATGTTTTGTAATCTTGTTTTGCATTGCTTTCGGTAGGTTAGGCTCGATGTCCCCCCTACCTTGTATCCTTATATCTCCTCTTAATAAACTGGTGTTTCCCAAAAAAAAAAAATATTGTACGTAATTGTTTTAATACTCTTTAGATTTTACAATTCTTTGTCACGTTTTCTTTCATTATTTCCATGTTTGATTTAGTCGGAGGTGTCATTGGTAAAGTCGTAAAGAGGCTTCATTCAATGATGGCCGCTTATGAACTTATGAAGGGTTCTTGCTACTTAAAGCAGGTTAGTTTACCAGACTAATTATTTCAATCTTGGTATTTTTTTCTTTCATTTTTTCATTGTGTAGTTTATGGTGAAGTGGTGATTATGGCAACCTACAAGTATTATTTAATTATTATCAATATGGTCCGATCCTGAATGATATTGGAGAGTGAGGTTGTTACTTGTAAAACGACTACAGTTATTTGAAGACACAATGGGCTTTAAGCAGGCATGTCTTTATGTATTTTCCAAACCAAAGTCTATTCTCTAGAATTCTAGATAGCTATTCCGATCGACTACAGTTAATGAAAGGGGAAACCTTAATGAATTAATGAAACACTTAATTTTACAGCATTTTTCAGTTTAAGTAAATTCTGGGTTTTTGTTTTTTAGTTATCTTTATTATCAGTTCGTTTTGGCATTTGAGGCATTCACGAAAAGGTAAATGAGAACTAGCATAAGTGAAGATCTCCCGTTATGGGTCCAAATTTCAACGAATGCCATTATACTTGGTAAAATAGTAAATGAATCGAGAAGTCTAAAATGACAACAACAAAAACTCTAAAGGGTTTTTAAAGGAAAGTGACACTAGTGCAATACAAACTAAAAGGAAAAGTGTAACTAATAAAAAGATCAGGGATAAACTAAAAAAATTAGAATGGAGCCTAAATGCAAACTCTCAACTTCGAGTTTACACAAGATATATATGTATGTGCAAAACTTAGTATATTTTAGGACGGCCCATACTCCACGCAGTCAGAGTTTGTATAGTAATCGGCTCGGTGCCATTGTTGAATGCAAACAAGTGAGCATTGTCATTGATCGCCAGCATAGGATAAACTCTTGAAGTGATGCATGTTTTTCCACCCGCGCCAAAGCTTTCCACTACTGAATGATCAATCTGTGATTTCAAAAATGCAAAACATATATCAAGTTAATATACATTGATCACTCCCAAACTGGTTTGATAATGAGAAGTTTGACAGCAAAAAAAGATCATACCAAACTCCTAAGTGAGATTTTTTTATCCACTGTTAAATCTATATCCACGAATCCAGCAAAAGAGGGTGTGTACGTTCTTGAGGTATTCAAGATTGACCTGCCCATTCAAACAATGTCATTTGGGTGATAATAATATGTGAATATGTGTTATAACATTAACAACTGTGGATTTGTCTTTTGTAGTATTAGCAGTAGAAAAATACATACCTGGTTGCATCGGAGCACATGAGGACTTTGTACTTGTCTTGGTTCCGAAAAACTCGGAAGGAAACAGGAGTGAACTCTTCCAAGTTTTTGGAAGCTAAAGTTGCAATGCCAAATGGACCAAGACCACCTTGGATGGTTGAGCCCCTAATGCTACATAGCTTCTGAGCATCATAGATATCCCAGCTCGGATCAAAAGACTCTGCTTTTTCCAAGCTTTGGAATGAGAAAGTCACCTCAACGTCAGCCTGTGTGCAAGCACCATATATATTAACAGAAGAACACATACACACATATTTATAAAAGTTAGATTCCCTAATCGATACATGGTTTGATTCATCATATTAAGAACCCCTTTATTTTATCAATTCACAACTATAAGGGGTTATGACTGTTAGAAGCTGTTCCGTTCACCTGATCTGAATGTTTCTGATCTGAATTTTTTAAGTTCTGATCTGATCTGATCTGAATTTTTCTGATCTGATCTGATCTGATCTGAATTTTTCTGATCTGATCTGATCTGATCTGAATCTTTCTGATCTGATCTGAATCTTTCTGATCTGATCTGAACGTTGCTGAACTGATCTGAATGTTGCTGATCTGATCTGATCTGATCTGAATGTTTCTGATCTGATCTGAATGTTTCTGATCTGATCTGAATTCTTCTGATCTGAATCTTTCTGATCTGATTTGAATATTTCTATAATTGTAATTATAATTATAATTATTAGATTTATAATTGTAATTAAAAATATAACTTAAATAAAATTACAATTATAATCATAATTATAAAAAAATAATAATTAAAATTAAATTTAAAATTATAATAATTATACCAATTACACTAATTATAAATACAGATACAATTATAAATGTAATTATATTTTTAATTATGATTAATTTTATAATTTTTTTTTGTAATTATAATTATAATATTTATCTCTATAATCATAAATATATCTATAATTACTAATTTAAATATATAATTACTCCGAAGTAATAATAATTACAAAAATAACAACAAGAACAACAATCATATTAATAATAATAATGATGATTATAATTATAATTACATTGTAAATCATAATTATAATTATAATTATAAATATATTATAATTATAAATATATTATATTATATTATATCATATCATATTATATTATATTATATTATATTATATTATATTATATTATATTCTATTATATTATATTATATTATATTATATTATATTATATTATATTATATTATATTATATTATATTATATTATATTATATTATATTATATTATATTATATTATATTATATTATATTATATTATATTATATTATATTATATTATATTATATTATATTATATTATATTATATTATATTATATTATATTATATTATATTATATTATATTATATTATTATAATATAATAATAATTTTATATTATTAACATTATTATTATATTATTATTAATAATATTATTATATTAATATATTAATATTATTAACAATAACTATAATATAATAATCATAATTAATATAATAATAAAAGTGATAAATCGTGTTTGAATTTTTTGATCTGATCTGATCTGATCTGAATGTTTCTGATCTGATCTGAATGTTTCTGATCTGGTCTGATCTGGTCTGAATCTTTCTGATCTGATCTGAATGTTGCTGATCTGATCTGAATCTTTCTGATCTGATCTGAATGTTTCTGATCTGATCTGATCTGATCTGAATCTTTCTGATCTGATCTGATCTGATCTGAATCTTTCTGATCTGATCTGATCTGATCTGAATAAAATAAGATTAAGGAATAAGTAATAAGATTAAGACGAACGGAACAGCTTCTTAGTAGCATGATTTTAAATTAGTTAGACTTGGTTAAGAGAAGTATTCATAATCTTTTTTACCAAGGTTAAATATCTTACTTGCCCATCATACACATAATGCAATATCTTTAAAAGGAATATATGCCACAAAACTATCAAATCTTTTGTACAAAACATAACGCATCGCACCAACTGCAGCAGCCACAATTACAATGAGCGTAAGCTAAACTTAAAATCAGCAAATGATGACCATCTAAATATTACTGTATGTGTTTAACAAACAAACCTGTGCAGGTGTGATTCCCTTAACTTCAATCTTTTCTCCCATTTTGAGCGTTTGGTTTTTCAATTCAACTTTGTTCTCCCTAACGGCTTCCACTTCTTCAATGGGCCATTGTACAAGTTGTTTCCCCAAAGGATCCAGCCAGATTGTTCGTGGGATTGCCTATATGTATCATTTCAAGAAGAGTAATAAGGAGTTGATCATTTTTGTTTACTTTTAGAGAAATCAATAAATTTATAAGCATGGATTTAGACAACCTGAATTCCAGACCAACCCTTACTCACAAGCTGATCTGGGGAGGCAACAGATTCATTAGACCAACCCCAGAGAATCCTTCTGTTCTTGCTCGGGTCAAAGAAAGTCTTGGATGCATAAAAGTTTCCATAATCAAACCTTAACCCATTCCAGCCATCGACGGAAGAGTTATCAGGAATGTACTTATCCTTCTCTTCGTGATACTTTCCCAAGGTGTAATACTCGTACCTAGTCTCATCTAAACTCACCTTAAGAACATGCTTCACGTCCTCCCTGCCGGCCATTAAAACTGTGTCCACACCCGCTTTCCCCTGAACCGGAACCGGGAAGAAATCCGGGCACTCCCACATCCCCGTGCCCGGAGCTGAATGTAACGGGTGTTTCGCCTTGACCCAATACGCGAAGTCTCTGCTCCTGTACAAATATGCCATTCCTCTGCTATTCCCTCTCTTGCTACCGACCACCATTCTCCACCGTCCATCCCTCCCCAACCAGGCCGTCGTCGGGTCACGGAATTTGGTGTTGTTGATGGTCGGGTCGGGTACTGCGATTGGGTTGATGTGGTCCGGTTTGATCCAGTCCTGGAGAAATGGGTCGTTGTAGTCGGCCGGGTACGCCAGGTTTTGGACTTGAGATTGTTTGTTGTCGATGATTCCGGTGTATAATATCGCGGGCTTGTTTCCGGGTCGGATGGTGGCTGATCCGGACCATGTCCCGAACTGGTCAAACGGCTTTGACGGGTAGATTGCGGGCTTTAGATGTTTCCAGTTGATCATGTCTTTTGAAACTGAATGGGCCCAAACAATGTTGCCCCATACAGACCCGTTTGGGTTGTACTGGTAGAACAGATGGTACAATCCTTTGTAATACATTGGGCCTGAATTACATTTACATTTTAAAAAATATTATGATTATTGATACTTCAACGCGTTAATAATAATTTTTTGTGATTTATTTAATTTAATCAAATTAAACAATAATAAATTAACCATTACTCACCATTTGGATCTGTTCGTCCACATGGAATCCCGCGCAACACCCATGCAAAGAAAGTAGTTGAAACAGTCAGTCAATAAATTTTGATTTTTAATGTTTCTAAATTTAATTTTGTCAATTAATTAAAGGCAAGAAATATAAGCCAAATGAGTTATTTGTATTTCAGCGTTTTCACATGTACAATATTTGAAGTTTTGGCTGAACAACTAATATCCAAACGCACTCAATAAAAGAGCAGTGCTATATATGTGTGTGTGGCTCCGTAAATCTACTCTTCAAATATCTCATACAATAAATACTATGCAGTGCAATAAATCTATAAGTATATGGGTACAATTTCTCTTGACATTTTTTTTAATCCAGAGGGGGTCAGGGGAGGGGACTGGGGATGGAGTAATCAGAGTTGAAACTCGACATTTATATGTAACAAATTGATATGGATGGGTACAATATCTCTTGACATTTATACTTCCTCCGTTCTTAAATAAGTGCAACAGTCAACATTTCACACTTGTCGAGACACAACTTTGACCATTAATATATACAATTCTTTATTTGTAAAAAAATTAAAAAAAATAGATTTTGAAAATTTAAAATGAGACAAATTTAACAATATTTTTTTCAAGAAAATATATTAATACATTATTTAATTAAACGTAGTCAAAGTACAACATGTGAATAGTGTAAAATTCAACATGTTGCACTTATTAAAGAACAGAGGTAGTATGTAACAAATTTATTGACATGAACGTTGAAAACTACTTATTTATGAAGCGTTTGAAAATACTACATTGACCATTCTTAAGTAACCGATTTTGGGGTAACATATATGCACGTTCAAAAAAAATATGCACGTTCAAAATGGGCGTGTATGTATGTTTAACTGTACCTTCAAGGCATAAGGTATACGTATTACCTATTTACGTGAATCAATTATACTATTACATTAATTAATTCAAAAAATGAACAAATTAAAAGATCAAATAAAAACTTGAATCAATTTAATACACCGTACATCATATTTAAAATATCATCACTTATATGTGAGGTATTGTAGTACACTCATCATAAAGGAATTGACAAATGTGAAGGTCCACTTCGGTGTTCAATGTAATTCAAAAGGCATGTAAAAGTCCATTATATAGACTAATATTCGTCGAATTCCTATAATTTTTATTACTTGTTGAAAATTAAAAATGATGTTTTTTTCAAAAAAAATAAAGCGTAAATAAAATATTAGGACTATGGAGTATTTGTTAGGTAAGATACGATTTGGACGAGGAAAGAGGGACACGACAATAAGAAGTTTGTATAACACCGACCACTAACCTATTTAAACAAATGAGCTAAATTGATTTGGGCTTTATTTTTTATTTTATTTTTTTGAAAGAGATTTGGGCTTTATTTAAATATTACTCGTGTGGTCTGATGATAAAACGTAATATCATACCTAAAGTGAAAAAAATGTACGGTACATGTATAATAATATATAGTGTATTTGTGGAATGATAAAACTTTACAAGTAAACCTATTTCGTTAATATTATCTAGAATATAAATTATACAAAAATTAATAAATATTATATATATATTATTAGAATGAATATTTCTTTTTTTTAAATCTGAGATGAGTGCAAAAATTGTTTGAGTTGAGTGAGTCTATTGTAAGCTAAATTAAGATTGTGAAGTTCATAGATCGATGTTATTTCACATGAGTGTACATATATATCATATATATATGTGTGTGTTTGTGTCCAGCTCTTAATTTTTTTTTATCTAAGAGAGCAATGGATCGGAGGACTTAGGGGGTCCTAGGGGGCAAGTGCCCCGCTTCCGATCCCGAGATTTAGTATTAGTACTTATGATAAAATCAGTGCCCCCACTTCTTGATATAAAAGTATGACTATAAAGTTATGATGAAACGATTTCATACACTTAAACATGTTTTTGACACGGTCATTATTTGAAAAGTGACGGTGATTATTTTTTGTGAAGTATAAACCAAGGAGCAAAAAACGGTTAGGGATTTGACTGGGGGAGGAGGAGAGAGAAATTGTTGAGAGGATAAGTTAAGGATTAAGTTTGAATGTTTTGATAGGTACGTAAATAAATCAGCTAAAAAATCGTGAAAATAATCAACAATTACGGAGTATTATCTAAACTATTGAAGGAAAAATAAGCAGTCATTTAATAGGACTATTCAACTGTAGAAAATGTAACACTTCATAAATCTTAATTGTTTCCTTCTGCGTTTTAATTTAATTGCATTAGAATGCATGTCATCAATTCTTATTTAAAAAAAATTAATAATATCGGACCATCGATCTTCTACATCCAAATCAAGAACTCATAACTAATACAGAAGATTAATGCAATAATAATTCATAATCGTTATTCAAGATCGAGTGTTCAATTAAAAGCATGGTTTTGAGTGAAAATATATGCAATAGTTTAAATGCAATTTTGTAGAAGTATATTTCAATGAGAGGTATAATTAACCTCTATTGGAAATCGGGGATCATTACAATGTTTTTATTTGAACTAATTTCAATCCCGGACCATATCAGTTCAAACCAAACTTCTGTAGCTATATAATACGGGTAGAACAGACAATTATCATATCCAAATCAAATCAGAATAGACTTCAACAGATAAAACTATACCAACAAATTTAAATCCGAGTGAGAAGATCCAAAATGATGACCAAAAATTGAGATGTGTCTGGGCATTGTGAAACCATTAATAAAACTTTCCATATTCACAATTTAATTGAATGTCGGTACGAAGTTCAATAAATTGACTCTTCAGTATTTAATGTATCTTTTATCAAATAAGACATAGAAACTAAAATAGAATTTAAGATTAGAATATTAGATATGGAAGACGAGGAACGAACCATTGATCCAGTTTTTGGGAGGCTGAAAGTGGTAACCAGTACGATGAACCCGGTCCATCGTTTGTGAACTCTGGGATTGAAGATTCATGTGAATATGATGAGAGGCTTCGACGCCGTCGCCATTTTTCCCCAGAAAGAGGGCAGCCACCAAACAAAGCAAGAGGGCAAACTTATGAGAACCCATAATGAGGCGGAGGAGAATAGTTTTTTTATGATGGGAGGATGTGATCGAGTAGTATATATAGACACCTGAAAAGCTGCATGGATAAGGTTTACATGAGATCGGGGACTTGTCTATATGTTAACCTAACTTAAATAAAACTCTAGTCATTCTAGGAGGAAGAACTAGTCCAACGTACCCGTGCTTTCATGCATGACGAATGCAGTAAAAAGTCAATACAGTAATTCCCATTTTCACCTTATCAATCTCACCAACCATTTATCTATAACTTACTATCAGTACATAACTTTTGATTTCATACACCGAATGATATCACAATCAAAATAAGTAAAGATCAAGTTACATTTTTGATTGATTTGACTGAATTTTTTGAATTCGAAGATGACAATCCGTTGCTTTTCCGTATAATTTCTTTTTTACTTTGTTGATAAAATATACTACCTATGTCCCTTAAATCTTTGTCAAGTTTGACTGGCACGAGGATTAATAAAGTAAAAACTGTGTGGTTAAGTTTTGTGCAGAGCAGAGAGAATTAACTGAAACAACAAATTCTTTACTTAAAAGGAAAAATGACAAAGTTAGTTGGACATCCAAAAAAGAAAAGTTGACAAAGTTTTAAGGAACCGATGGAGTATTTGTTAGGTCTCCTGATTTTGATGATCTATATTTACTTTTGATGATGTCAACCCCCTTTTTTAATATGTGTGTTTAGTATGTGTGTTTTGTTCTACTTATGTTTATTGTAATGTGCTATCATATTAGTGATAAAGTACTCAAGAAAAACAAAGAGTACTCAAAAGAGAAGAAACGTACCAAAAACAAAAAAAAGGTACGAAAAGAGTCAACTGAAACCCTTTAAAGAAATCGGCAACCATCTGAAATTACAAGAACCAGCAGCCTGCTGAAAGACAATCCAGCTGGCTGCCAACATAACTCAAGTTTCCAGATGACTTAACCGAATCCTACTAATCTTCTCTTAAGCACAAAAATAATTAAACAAAAGACCAACTTGCAGTCAAAATAACCAATTGACAATAAGTAATTTTATAAGAAATTTTTACCACATTATAAAAATTTCTTGTAAACTTATTTTACAAAAAGAAAGTAATTTTATTGTAAGGAAGCATTGAACAACACTTAGCTTTGATATTAAATCTCTACGAGCAAAAGAAATAAAAGATACTACCTCCGTCCCACTATGTTTGGGACAATTCGGTTTACGATGCTTGATCGACGATAAAGCAAACAGACTTATGTCTGCACCCAAATTATTTTTAGGAAAAAAATACATATTCGGAAACTACATTAATTAAAAGCTTTACAAAGTCGCAAAAACCAGAATAAAATTGATAAAAAAAAATTGATATAGAAATTAAGAGATTAAGAGTGATTTGTGTTGACCAAGTGAATAATGTCTGGGACAATCTTAGCGGGACGGAGGGAGTATATCAATCTTTATCTTTGCATTGAGATGAGTAAACAAGTTGTGAGAGGATTTGGTCCGTGTCACAAGAAGACAAGAATAAACCATGCTCTTCTACTGTCAAGTGGAACAATGCAAGTAGATCAAGCAACGGTCAAGAATGAGCTCCTCAGCTTACGGTGGAGATTCAACAACCAGTCTATAAATACAGAAAAAGTGCGGGAATAAACAAGTGGAAGAGCCAAGTGGAATAGAAGGGAATTAAGTTTCACATGAACACATCCAGTCAGCTGATTCCCCTTCACCACTTCGGTTCTCACCCCACTCATCTAATGCTCTTAGACTAGCTCAAATTCATACAAATTAAACCTATAGAGATTAGATTAGTTGGTAGTTTAGTTTTCACCCATGTAAACTAGACTAGTGTTAGACATTCTAGAGGGTTTTGTGTTCAAATCCAGAAGGTGAGATAGGCAAGGACATGAGTAGCTTCTGCCAAGTCAATGCAACCTTAGTGGAAAAAACACATTCTATAACGGTTAAAATCAACATTCTATGTCGGTTCGGGAACCGATATAGAATCAGTGGTTATAGAAAGTCGGATGCTTTCCATGTTGGTTGTCGTGACCGTTATAGAATATATTCTATGTCGGTTGTAATACAACCGTTATCAAATGTGCTTCACACACGTTCTGTTGGAACGTGACATTCCGTATGGGTTCCATAGTGTAACCGTTATTAAATACATTCAATGTCAGATCAATATCCACCGTTATTGAATGGTTTTCCCAGCCTGCAATACATTCTAGACATATTTATGATGATATTTTTTACAAAATTATTATTCAATAATATTCACAAATAACCATAATATCTACAAAAAAAACATATATAGCATTAATCATACTAGCAAAAATTTAACAATAGTATCATTTTACAACATAAAAATTCAAAATAGTTAGCAAAAAAATTGCACTACTTTCTAATTTGCTAACAATATTTTCTACTAAATAATAAATACTAAATGCTAGTTGCTTCGTAGAAAAACAATGCCCAACGCTCTCAAATCTCGTTGATGTCTTGTTCACTAAATGGATCTTGAACGTTGAATGTCTACAAGATAAATAAAACAATAAACCAATAAGTAAAAATTAAGTAAAAGAAATTAAGACAAAAATATAATGAAACATGAGTAATAATTAATTACCTGCATCCACGAATCCACAACACTGGCAGACATAATAGTAGTCATGTGTCTCATAATATAATGTCCACATCCAAAACTTCCCTTTTGCATTTGAGACTGCAAATAAATAAGGCACCAAGTACACACACACAGATATGTGTGTGTGTGTGTGTGTGTGTGTGTGTGTGTATAGTACACAATTGACGATCCTATATTCGGAAGTAAACAGCCTCAACTTATAGCTTATAAGGCGGTTAAGAAAACAAAGCCCGGGGTGGAAGAGCCACAGGAGCAAGAGCACAAAATAAAAATTACTCTCATAAAAAATGTGAAAAACCTTTCCCTGTAAGTTATGGGTCTCTACAGAATTTCTCTTCTTGCCTCCAACCTCTGTAGACATTATGTATGAGTTTTGTATTTTTAAAGAAAATTTGGTGGAACATCTTTGTCGTGGAAAATAAAAATTAGAAGCTGAAATGTATTTTTTTTGCACAAGACATAGTAGCATTAATTTTATCCCTTCAAAAAAAAAACTAGAAGCTGATGTTACTTGTTTTGTTACTTGTTGTGGTGTTACCTCCTGTTGCATCTCGCTCTTGACCTGGGTGCTCAGGACATTCGGTAGCTGCCGTTAGGATATCATTACAACCGATGGGACCAGATGTCCCTTGCTTTTCCTCCTCAACTAGAGAATCCTGCGAACCACAAACAGGGTCCACAAATGCACAACCCTTTTAAGGAAGTTATACAAGTCAATTTATATTTACAGTCAAAATATTATCAATCTTTCACTTACAATTTTCTCTCCAATTGGGCGAGACCTCTTTGATGTATACTTGCATGTTCATCTGATTCGACCTCACTTCCATTTCATATAACGGGGTATGGGAGAAGGATCTCTCAACCCCAATGAAGGATTTGCCTGAGAAGCTTCTTCACACTCTTTTGTTTTTTCAACCATGAGTGTTTTCTCTAACTCATATCCACCCCGAGACAATATGTGAGGAGAGTCATTATGAGCTTGGATTTCTTGTTCCTTTTTCTTGTGCTCCTGTTTTACATGTACAACACAAAGTAAACAAATTTAAATGATAGCTTACATGGATATTTTCATGAAATGTTAAAAACTTCTCTAACTAGAAAAATTGGGTCTTTTCTACTCTTGACGAACTGTTGCTAAGTCAATATTGATATAAGAGTAAAATATGACTAGGTCAAAGGTAATAATACCGTAATGGTATCAACTTTAGTACGATGTAGTTCTGGAACTAGAAACAAAAACATCTTCTCAAAAAAAGTTAAAGTGATCTTGGAATAAATCCAGAGGGAATTTTTAACCCATTTAAGACAACTGTCACAAAATCATAAAAGTTGAAGGCAGTTGAGCGCAATGAAAAAAGCCCACAAATCATTTTGGACCGAAAATCAAAATAAAAATCTAAGCTTGAAATTTATCTTTAATCAGGAGGCTGACCATGAATGACCAGTGGACACGTCACATACACACATGACACCCCTAAAAAGAAAGAAGGAAAAAAGAGAACATATACTAGCTTCAAATTCACTGTTATCAGTTTTTTTATGTTACTATAGCGCTAGTTGTACAGAATAGAACAAAAACTTCAAAGTATAAGAATCCAATCTTTGTAAAGGACTCAATGAGGAATTATATCATATACTTATATATTATATGATGCAAAAAAACTACAAAAAAACTTCTCTCACCAGAAAAATTGGGTCTTTTCTACTCTGAACAAACTGTTGCCAAGTCTCAACACCTATCCATTGACACTTTTCTGTGGGGTTTTCTCCAGATCAATTGCCAAATATGTAATATGATGTCAAGAACGTCTTGAATCCTGTCCACCGATTACCGGCATATGATATCCATTTTCTTCTCAATAGATGAGTATTAGGGACATCAAAAGTGAGCTACAATACATAAAGATATATCATAATCCAATTTAAAAATACTTAAGTTTACATATATAAAAGCTTAGCAGAAAACAGTAGATTGAGATAGAGCTGTCAAATATAGCTTTAGACTGAACTATAGTTGTCAAATCTAACTGAGATAGAGCCATCAATTTTTTAGTGTTTTACATAAATGCATATCTATAGAACAGTGAATGATGAAAATAAATATCCAAATGGTATTAAAATTCACCTATCCCTTTTATTTGAAATTATACATTTCTATTTTGTTCCTAATTCTTACTATTATATACAAAAAAAATTACAATTGTTGTTTGGTTTAACTTTTCTAATTGTTATACCTCCTCATGTAGCTTTAACTAATCTAGTTGGTATAACTGAATAGAGATATCTTATCCTTTAAAGAAAAAAACACTAGTCTTAAGGCATAACAACACAAAAATATCTAAAAATATTAAACAAATTTAATTTAAGTACCTCTATCTATACGTTTAACATATATTGCTATATACTAGTATAACTGATTGCTCCTTTTTAAAGGCTTTCTTATCCCTTTTTTTTTAACTATAACACTCTATTCTAGCTCTCTTTAGAATTTGTCTCCTCTAATTTTCCATAATTTTTATTTGAGATAGCATATACTTTTTTTAACAAGAAAACAGATGGCAAATATAATAAGAAAGCAATATTTGATTTAAAGTAGAAATAAACGAAAACTCATCAGTTCACCCCAGCAACCTTGCCTCCATAGTATGGTCCAAAAAACCATCCGCTAATGAACTTTTTTCCTTGTTGTGCTTAGTTGTAAAAGTTTGAGAAATTGAAGCTACATTCATTTGAAAATCTAAGGCATTCTCACAAACATATTATAGACAAATGAACTTGTATAAAATTATTATTGAAAATTTTCACCCCAACTGAAATTTAAAGAAAATTGACAAACCCAAGAACAAAATTGAACCGTAAGTGTAATTTTTTAAAAATAGATTTGTATACATATAGACACATGTATAGAGGACATACATTTTTACCTAGATGTGGTGGAGGATGATTGACTCAAGATGTTGGGGAACGGTTGTATGTGATAGAGCGCCTAAGGATGTAAGAAAGAGTAGGGTGGCCGTGGGGTGGGGTAACACCATGGAACAACGGTGGTGGGGGAGCTGCGGCGTGTAGATCGGTCTTCGTCGGAACAACGGTGGTGGTGGAGCTGCTGCGTCTAGCTCTATCTTCTTCGGAACAGGGCGATGGAGGAGGAGAAGCGGCGATGGAGTTGCGGTGCTGGAGCTAAGGCGCCTAGCTTATCCAAGTAGGGTTTCGATTTTGTATAGTTTCTTCTATTTCTATCGTGAAGCGTCTAACTGGGACTAACTCTAGAATCTAGATAAATCTTTTCGTAAGGGGTTCAAAATGAACAGACATAGAAAAGAACTTTCGTTAATTACAAAAAAGACTCCGAATATCAATTGAAGTTACAAAAATTGTAAATGTTACCCCTTTTCAACTTTCTATGTCCGTTTTAAAAAGACCCGATATAGATTAATTTTTATACTTTTCATTTTAACCCATCAAACTGAAATGTATCTTTGACTATTTACGAATTAGACCCCATGCCTACATACGATTACGGCTATTCATCAACCCATATAAAATGCTAGTTATAGAATGTATATTTTGCACTAGTATAACTTGAAATTTTGTTCATATTCCTTCTGAAAAACCTCACAATCTATGTTTTGGCCAAGGATAAATTTGGCACTAAATGTAATGAGATATTCATTTAGTGGAAATCCATCTAAAAAGGTTGGGACTGGATGTAGGAGGATTACACCACCTCTAAACCAGAATATATCTTGTGTCACCTTTTATATTCAGATCCAATTACACACTGCAATTCTCACTCACCTTCACAACTTCACAGCAAAACAACTTGCTCACAAAAACTATCCAGTGAACTGTTCGGTTCACTGTGAATCAACTCCTTGCTTTGGTTCATCAAAGTGATCTATTTCTATAGGTCTAAGTCCTTCATACTTATATGTTAAGACTCGTTCTAAGTGAAGTATGTTAGAGGAAAAAGGATTGAAAAAAAATTCACCCCTCTAGACTTTTACCTCACATGGGACCATCAATATTATAATTTTTTTCATAATTCAAAAGATTCGAACAATTAAGCCACTATAGTTATCATTTCAGCCGATTCAATCAATTTCAGTATTACCAAACAAACACTTTTTTATTTTGAAAATCACTCCATTTCATGAGTAATGTGAATATACATATTTATTATACTACCTCCGTCCCGAAAATATTTGTCATATTCACTTTTCTTGGTTAATGATGACAATCTTTGAACAATCATTTTAGTTATTATAGGTATTATACTTTTACATAGTTTATAAATTTTATAATTTTATGAAAATACTTTGAATGAGGAACATTTTGATATATATTTCATATTCCAAATAATTTTGTATTAAAAAATATCATTGATCAAAACTGATTGTCATTGATCAAGAAAAATCAATTTGACGAACCTTTTCAGGACGAAGGAGTTTGACATAAATTGTATTAGAAATATGTATATGATAATTTTAAAGGTATACTAATTAATACTACGTACTACGTATGTAATCATCAAATATAAATTCTTCGATCCATACACCACTTTTCATAAAAATTATTATCGTTTAAAATTTCTTACTTCCTCCGTCCCTTAAAAATTTGTCATCTTTGAATTTTTGGTCAACCATGTTCAACTTTGACCAATTATATATTTTATTAAAAGTTATTTATATTATAAAAATGATATGAAAATATTTTTTGTTAAATATACTTTCATAAAAGTATAAAATTTTTAACTTCCGAAATATCATATTAATCAAAGTCATGGTCGAAAGTTTATCACCATTAACTTAAAAAGTGAAAGATGACAAAGCTTTAATGAACGGATGTAGTATTGTTTGGTGATAATCATTGTTCTAAAACTCTCTAGGCGCTAGTCGGGCGGTTGAGAGGCACCTAGTGTCTAGGCTGCCAACTAGCTTAGGACGATATTTTGGCCAGCAAAGCTGACTTTTAGACTGACTAGACTGATTAGTTCTCTACAACTAAGGCCAACTAGACTCATTAATCGATCCTACTAGGTCGGTTTTTAAAATAGTGGTGATAATTATGATGTCTATTACGACCATGACTATTTTATGCATGTTTGTACGATCAATTGTCATTGTACCTTATAATTTCTAACTAGTTATCATCCAGAAGTAAAAATATTTATTTTATAATAGTTCATGATTCAAATAAAAAGATTTCAATTTTAACTACATGAGAAAGATGTGAAGATTAGTGGATCCCCTCTAAACATTCTCTTCTCTCTCTAGGGTTACCCTTCCGGTAACGCCTAGTCTCAGTCATTCCGCCGCCGCCGGCTTTGCCGAGTGGGGTGTGCTTTCGGTTCTTCGGGCTCTTGGACGGAGTCTCGTTTTCGTTTTTGTTATTTCTCCTTCAAGTTTTGGAAATAGAGTTCTTAGAGTTTGGAAGGTTTTTTTCGGTCACGAGAAGTCGGGCATCGGGACCGATAGAAGAAGGTTCTGCTTTCAGTGGTTCTGTGAGCACGAAGAGGCGGTCTCGGGAGTAGAAAAGGCCGCAAGGCTCGAATGGAAGGTGTTGGGTTAATGGCCCAAGTTGAGGTTCGGTCCATTTACCCTTACTTCTGGACGTACGTCCAGCCAGATCATTAAGCTAGCCTGGCAAGCCCACGTTCCTCCAGGAGGGATGAACGTCTGCAGTGGGGTTTAGGCTCAACGGCCCATCTCGACGAACGTCTATGCAGGGACAAGGAGCAGGGCCACGGGTCACCAGAATAACGACGAGCGTCGTCAGAGCAAGCCCATACCCATCGGAGGCAGTCCAGTCCGCATGGCGAGAATCCACAAAGGCCAGGGGACGAACGGCCAGTACCCCTTGGAGGCCACCTGGAGCAATCCAGCTCGCTCCCCGGGCTGACGAACGTCCCCACTAATTAGGCGGGAAACCTAGAATCTGGCGGGAAGTGCATTTAATGCTGAAGATTTGGTGGTTGGGACACCAGTGAACCACAGGCTTCCACGTCAGTATAGCCACCTGCCCATTGGTGGGTATAAATAGAAGCATTTATTTCATTGTAAAGGGTTGGCAACTTTTTATTCTTAGCACTTTAGCTATAGCATTCTTACTCGCAGCGCTTCTACTGCCTTGTAAGACGAACGGCCGACGAGCCTTAGTGAGAAGTATTGTATTAGGGAGTTATTAAGAGATAATAATGCCTAATCCTTTACTTGCTGCCTACTGTTCTCCTTGATCCATATCACTTGCTTGTTGGGCTAGGTACTCATACACACTCCGCTCGAAATCCTTGGGCTTACGTGTTGGACCCGAGGGTTGAAGGAATAAACCTCAACAGAAGGTTTTGCAGACAAATATAAAAAGATGGTGATCGGAACGGAGGAGGATGATTGGGATCTTGATGGGGGAGATGGCGAGGAGATTCCTGTGGAGGAACAAAGCTCAGGGTTTTCGGTGGTTGGGGTGCTGCTGACAGACAGGAAGGTTAAATTTTCAGCTCTCAAGGAACTCATATCTTCACTATGGCAGCCGGGAAAAGGTATGACGGTCAAAGAATTGGATGAAAAGAGGTACCTTTTTACTTTCAATCATCGTTTTGATATGAATCGTGTTATTGAGGGAGGCCCTTGGCAGTTTGAATTTAATCTGTTGTTGCTGGAAGAGGTAAAACCTGATGATATCCCTCATAAGATTGTGCTACATGAAGCTGATTTTTGGGTCCAAGTTCATAATGTTCCCTATAGCCTTGTGAATTCAGGTACTACAAGAAGGGTGGGAAATTTTATTGGAAAATTTATAAAATATGATGATAATCTAAAAAGGGGGAAGTTGGAGCCTTATATGAGAATCAGGGTGTGTATGAACGTTAATAAACCTCTGGAAAAGGGTACTAGTCTGAAAAAAGAAGGAAAAAGTTTTTGGGTAGATTTTAAGTATGAGAAATTGCCCAATTTTGGGTTAATAGGGCATTCAGATAAATTTTGCCCGTTAAATTATGAAGAAGATCTTGTTCTGGAAAACCGTTTTGGAGTTCAGCTTAGAGCAGGGATTGGGGTGAAGACTAGTCCCACAGGAGGAAGCAAGTGGCTGATGGAGGGTTCATCGAGATCTGGCAGGGACCACAGATAATGGAGGAATTCAAGTCTAATGATAGGCAGAATGGGGGGAGAAAGAGTCTATATCAGAATCAGCATAGAGCATTACTAAAGGCATGGAAACAAAAGAAGATACTTCCGGGGAACAAAAGAAAAGAAGGATATGGGAAACCCACCCAGGGGGAAGGAAAGAGTGGAGAGGATAACATGCATGGGACAAAAATTGGGACGGGGGCGAGTTTCGATCTGTAAGTCCGCTGAAGCAGATATTATCAGAATGGATGAGGACGCTGCGAGTGTTTGTGCGGTTCGACAGACTCGGACAGAAATTCAAGTTTATTTGTTTTATTTTTTTCTTTAGTGATAATTTAGTTTGCATTATGATTTGTTTTGTTTTTATGTTCCTGCTTGTAAGGCGATGGATTTGGATAGAGGTGATGAGAGGATTGCGGTAACTGTCTTTGTCTCATTTGTGCTCATTAATGGATCAACGAATTATATTGCTTCTTTGGAGGTGATTAATTCTAAGTCTGATTTGCGAGACGACGGTTATCAAAAATCATTTTGTCGGATTACCTACTATCTGAATGTGTTATCAATTTAAGCTCACTTTGTGATCGAGTAGTGTACATTTACACCTAAAAAGCTGCACGGATAAGGTTTAAATTACTTTAAATGAGATCGAGCAGTTGTGTATAACTATACGCACCCACCTTAATCAAACTAGTGATTCTAGAATGAATTACTTTGATTTTTAATTTTCCAATATAACTCCTCCATTAAATGATCGAGTACCTAGATACAAATGTTGATACTTGATACCCTCGTGTAATGCACATTACGAATTTACGATGGGGTGTAATTGTTTTTTTTTTTTTTGTATCATCGATGGGGTGTACTCCGTAATTGTTAAATATAGAAAAGGCTGTAAAGCTTTCTTTTTTGAAGGGAAAATAAAATTTATAATAAAAATCAATCCTTAGTCAATAATATCACGAACTTCATCATTTATCTTTCAAAGGCACCATGAAATTGAATAAAATTCAATAATAATCCTTCGATCACACATTGAGACTATCAAACGAACAACATACAGAGGGGAGAATTCCCTAAATAGGAGTAAAAACATTTTGAAATTACAGAATAGGACTATCATGATTTTTAT